CTATCTTCTCCTCTATCCATCTTCTATCCGCCTCCCCCTCTCTCCCTATTTATTTCAGAACCCCCTTCCCCTCCCCCATTTCTGATGAAGGGTCTAGGCCCGAAACGTCAGCCTTCCTGCTCCTATGATGCTGCTTGGCCTGCTATGTTCATCCAGCTCTGCACCTTGTTGTCTCAAACCCTGGTCACATATCTGTAATGGCCCTTATCAAAGTCAACAAATTACATCCAATATAATTGTGACCATTGAGAAGGCAGTGATATCATGGTAATCTCAGGATTAGTAATCCATAACCTCACATTACTATTCTGGGAACATGGGTTTGAATCTCACCACGGAGTTGGTGAAAGTTGGATCAAATAAAGTCTGGAATTTAAAGGCAGCCAAATGATGACCATGTAACAGTGTCACTGTCATAGACTGGCATCTATCTGACAATATGAAAAATTGCTCAGGGATGTCCTAAACACAAAATGTAGGATAAACTGAGCTCTGTTAATTATTGCCAAATAGGATCATTAGCAAAGAGATGGAAGGGGTCATCAACAATGCCTTCAAGTGAGACTTGAAAGGATATAACCTGTTCACTGATGTAAATTAGAATTTTGCTCAGGTCACTCAGGCGTAGACGTCATTACAGTCTTGGGCCAAATACAGACAAAAGAGCTGAACTTGAAAGATGAGCAAGAGTGACTGCCCTTGATATCAAGTCTTGGGATTGACCAGTGTGGTATCAAGGAGCTCCGAGCAAACTGGAGTCAATGGGAATCAGAGGGAAAACTCTTTGCTGGTTGGAGTCATACCAAGTAAATAGAAAGATGGTTGTGCATGTTGGAGGTCAATCGTCTTAGCACCAGGTCACCATAACAGGGGCTCCTCAAGGTAGATTCCTCGGCCTAACCATCTTCAGTGCTTCATCATCCAGAGAGAAAAAAATAGCAGAAAACCACGAATACTTAGAAATAAATGTACTGATGTATTGGGGCTCCATTTTGAAGTATCTACGATATGAGTCAGTACCTGTTATTCACAAGTTTACCGGGAATAGCCTTCATTATTAAGTCAGAAGTGGGGATATTTGCTGATGATTGCATAGTGTTCAGCACCACTCAACATATTGTATCCATATGCAGCAAGACTTAGATAACATCTAGGTTTGGGTTGATATGTGCCAAATAACATTCATACCACATATGTGCCAAGCAATGACCATCTCCAAACAAAAGAATCCAACTATTGCCCTTTGACACTCAATGGCATTACCATCATGAATCCAGCATTATGAATATGCTGAGGATTACCATAACTAGAAAATGTACTGGACCAGCTGTGGCTACAAGAGCTGGTCAGGACCTGATAATTCTGTGGGGAGTAACTCACCCAAATATGACAAAAGAGCTCAACTCGTGAGGTAAAGTGAGAGTGACTGCCTTTGACATCAGATCATGGGATCACCTCAAAGCCTATTCACCATCTACTAGGCACAAGGCAAGATTGTGATGGAATGCTCTCCACTTGTGTGCAACACTCAAGAAGCTTGACATGATCCCACTTTGATAGGTCCCACAGCTAGCATTTACTTCATCACACAATGACATGAGTGTGTACCATCTACAATATCCACAGCAGTAATTTGCCAAGGTTCTTCTGCCAGTACCTTCCAAACTCATGCCCTAGGAAGACAAAGCTAATAGATACACGGGAACACCATCATCTTCAAGGTCCTCTTCAAGCTAAACATTATTCTGACTTGAGAAATATATTGTTATTCCCTCAGTGTCACTAGGTCAAAATCCTGGAACTTTCTTCCTAACAGTCCTAACATGCAATGGTTTAAGAAAGCAGCTCACCATTCCATTCTTCAGGGCAGTTAGGAATGGGCAATAAATTTTGGCCCAGGCAATGACACCCACATCCCGAGAATGAAGTTTTTAATAAATTACCCCTCATCATCCTTCTCAGCCTGTCTGGTTGACCACATCACCTTCTTCCAACTCCACTCTCCTGTTGTCCATCTGGGTTGGGACTCCTTCTTCCTAATTCCATGCCTACTTGTAATCAAAGAGGCTCCTCAAATGACTTCTCTTCCTGTCCCATCATTGTTATCTCTGGAATCTCCCAAGGATCAATCCTTTGCACCCTCCTATTTCTCAACTGTTTGCTGCCTGCCAGCAACATCATCTGAAGATTGTCAGGCTTTACATGTAAATTGACCGCACGGATCTCCATGTTACAGTCAACTCCCTCGGACAATCCATTCTCTCAGAATCTTAACACTGATTAATTGATATTCAGTGTTGGATGAAAATAAATTTATTCAAATTAAATGTTGGAAAGGTGTTGATCCCTCCAACAGATTCCATTTTCTAGTCACTGACATTATCCCTTGCCCTGATTAGCTGTTTGAGGTTGAACCAGAAACTGTTTGTTACCTTGGCTTCCTCTTCCAATAGTAAATATGCTCCTGCCTTGCTGGCTTATCTATTGCTGAAATCGTCACCTACGCCTTTGTTGCCTTTTATTCTAGTGCCCTGTTTGCCGACCTCAAAATCGTCTGACATATACCCTAACTTGCATACCTTAAGACACATGCAATCATCTTCCTTCTTCTCCCTGGCTCCTGATGAAGCAATGTCTCAATACTAAAATCCCGACAGTCTCTACAAATCTCTTCATGGCCTGTAGTCTGACTATCTCTGTTATCTCCTCTATCCTTGCAAACATCCAAGAACTTTGTACACCTCCAATTTTCACTTCTTGAATACTTAGAATTTTAATGGCTTCACCATTGCCAACCATGTTTTCAGTTGCCTAGGCATTAGGCATTGGAATTTTATCCCTAAAATACTCTGCCTCACCACCTCTTTCTTCCATTTAAGATGCTGCTTCAAACCAATCTCTTTAATCAATCAATAAATAAAAGGGAGGTGATGGCCTAGTGATATTATTGCTGGCTGTTAATCCAGACACCTGGATAAAGTTCTGAGGACCTTGATTCAAATCCCACCACGGCAGATGGTGGAATTTGAACTCAATAAATATCTGGAATTAACAATCTAATGATGACTGTGAATCAATTGTTGGGGAAAAACCCACCTGGTTCACTAATGTCCTTTAGGGAAGGAAACTGCCTGGTCTGGCCTATGTGTGACTCCAGACCCACAGCTGCCCGATGGGCAATAAATGCTGCCTAGGTAGCAATGCCCTCATCCTGTGAATGAATAAAGGAAAAAAAGTTCTCATTTGTGGTTGGTGTCAAATTTCATTTTACATGTTATGACACAGAAGTCAAACCAAATCAGCCTTTCTACCTCTGTATTTGCAATGCAGTAAAATTAAGCCAAAAAAGGACTCCAAATAGTCACTCCAATGGTTCCTAATCAGACTTTTGAATAACCACCCCAGATTTTGCAAATAATTAATTTCCAGGCAATGTTTTTGTATCTTAAACAAAAGATTTAACTATTTATTAAATACACAATAACGTTAGCAGAAAGAAAGTCAAACAGCATGGTCAGCTAATTAACGTTTGTGCTTTATACCCAAAACATTTGTTTTCAGCCTCCCATTCACAAAAGAAAAGACAGACAGACAAACACAGTTAAGGCATAAATAAAAGAAAATGTCAAAACTGGCAAGGTTACTTAAGTGGGTTTGACAATGCGTTGTCCCACAGCGATAATTGTGGACTCCTTTGTTGCTCTTATGAAAGGTTGATCAGGGTCACTTTCTCAGTTCCCACAGGCAAAGAAAGAAATACATCTAACTCAGCTTTCCTCTCTTTGAACTTCAGAAAGCTGGTGTCACATATTGGGCAGGGAGCTTTCAAATTTTCAAGCCGTATCAGCAGCAACCCAGAACCATCTCTCAGAAAACAGCATTCAATAAAGCTTTAATTCTGGTTCTGCCCTGATAGACTGATCACTCTCCCTGAGGGGTTGGTCACCATTCAGCAATTGTCATCTGCTTGAACATAAAGTCTGTTTCAGACTTGCTAGAACCAACTCCCAGGTACTGACCTCCTTAATAGCTGAACTTCTGCTATTGGTTTAAACACAATGCTCTTCCCAGGGGTTTCTGTGTCTGTTGGAACCTCTTTAATCATGAGTCAGCTTCAACTAGCCTCCAGGCCTGGCCTCACCAACAAACAAACCTTGTTTGGCCTGTCGTTTTCCTTTTACCTCAAGCTGTCCCAAAATCCGCAAAGCGTTTCCAGCTCACCATTCAAAATTGATGAAAGAATGAAAATAAAAATAATAAAAATCAGCGAGGGTTCGAAAATATAACATGCAATTTCTGACTGTACAAGGGCAAATGGAGTAAAATGCTCTGAAGCGTTCTTTGTGGATTTATAGAGTCATTGAAGGCAGGGAAGGGATGGATTGGAAGCTGGTGATTCTCGTAGGGCAAGGCAAAATGCATAAAAGTTCCAAACATTGTCTAAGCTTATTAATCTTGGTAAGATCATCAGATTTCTTCCTGTACTATATGTTGATCTTGGAGGTGATGCTGATCACATTGATATCCCACCTCTCCTCACACAAATCTCCAATTGATTATCCATGGTTATAGGTTTCCCATCGTGTTCTTGACTTGCTTCACCATGATTCCCATGGCTGTGTCACATAAGCTCACAACCTGGCTGGAATTCACCCTGGCCACTGGTACACTCCTTTCCCACTTCAAACACCAACTCTGTCGCTTTTCAGCTTTTATCGCAAAATAGCATGTTCCCTTTCAGCTGCAAGTTACAATGTCAAATTGTACATCTACAAGTTGCTGAACTGACAGTAAAGGTGTACATTCGAAATTGGGAACTCACAAATGAGGGCTAAAACTGAAACTCACAGATGTGATTAAGATCTCTCCTCATCAAGGGCTAACTCAGAGCATAAATGAATCCTACTGAATACTGCCAAGGGAAGCCAATTAATCAAATGACATAAATAGATTCAGTGAAGAACTGTTCCTTATAATACATAATCAGGAATTCAAAAGGAATTTTACACAAGGAGTGATTAGAATGTGGAACTTGCCTTTACAAAGAGTAGTTTAAAAGAATAATGTAGATACATTTAAGGGAGAATCTAGAAAAGTACATTATGGAAAAAAGAATAGAAAGATGTTTTGATGTGCTTCGATATAGAGGAGGAACTTGTATAGTAGTTGGGCCAAATGGCCTCTATGCTGTAAATTCAATGCAATATAGAATTCTATGTAAAAGATAGGACTGAAGTACATGATGAGAAGGTGGCATCAGGTTTGATGGGAATACGTAAGAATTTCAGTCGGGGATAAGTCTAGTGATGACATTGGAAAGCTGGTGACAGAGATGTCCCCATTCTATCACTTATCAATAAGTTAATCTTTCAAGAAGAAAAAAATTATGCTGGCCTAAATTCATGTTTTGTCCTCTCAAGGAATGGTGCTCATTAAACATTTAAAGTAATAAAATAACTCAAATAAAGTCTAAAAACTGCTTTATTCCTAGATGCAAATGATAAAAGCCCTGTAAAAGTCCTTGTGATTAAAATCATTTAAAATGGAATGTTTAATTGGACACAATATTTACTTTTGAACTTGTCTCTAAATGTTTTCTGTTTCTAGATTAAACAATGCTCCAGTGAGAGGCTATGAAAAGGATGTTGGAAACAAAACCACTCTAAGGATCTTTTATCCGGAATCAACAATTGAAGATCCCACCATTGAAAATAATCTTGATACACTGTTTGTGCTTGTACCATTTAAGGCAGCCGACATGAACTGGTTGAAGGCCATCGTGTACAATGAGACAAAAGTAGGTATCCTGGATTGGAACTGTAATGGTTCATAGCAGCTACATCCAGAACCGGAGCCATTTGGAATTATTGTGTGATGCTCCTGTGCTGAGTTCATGAAATGGTAAAGAGATGCAGCTAAACCTTTGTATGCAAAAGATCAATTATTCAGGGGCCTTGTTCTGAGTAAATGATGGAGTGAATTTACACCCACTATATATAAAACAAAAGTGTTCTGACTCAGTCACATTGGTACTGAAGGTAAGGTAACTCCCAGAAGAAACAGGCAGGGAAAATAAATGGGTTGGTGATCCCACATTTCACTGAAATATAGGAATGTGATTCACTGCAAATAAGGTGGTTAACTTTATCCACACACTTGAGCTACAGAGCATAAACGTAAGCAGCTATGTTATGATGAAATCAGATTGTGTGGGATTGCAACCTGATGGAAGACGGCTCTTACGAAGCTGTTGCCTCTGTGTATTGTTTATAGGCAATAAACGTTAACATTTTGCACTCACCTTGCATTCTGTTTTGGATGTTTTAAACCCATTGAAGTGCTTAATGATCTTAGAGGAATTAGAGGATACTATCAGAGGAAATGGTTGAGATATGTCGCTGAGCTGGATTTCAAAGAAAACTAGATGAGAACATTCATGAAAGGGAAAAGAAGGAGGTGCTGAAAGGCTGGAGATAAGGATCATGGAAAAAGAGAAGACTTGTCTGTGACATAAACTCCAGTTCAGATTGTTGGACTGTGTTATAATCTCTATGCATGAAATCAGGACAAAATCTTTTAAATCAAAGAGGAGCTCTGTCCCCGAAGTGCCTGACAGTGCTCGATCAATTGAAAATGTTCAAGGCTGAGATTAATTTATTTTTAGTGGTCAAAGTTTTTTTTTTATTCACTTGTGGGATGTGGAAATCATGGCTAGCCGGCATTTTGTTGCCTGTCCCAAGGTATCCTTGAGAAGGTGGTGGTGAGCTGCCTTCTTGAACTGCTGCAGCCCATGTGCTGTAGGTAGACCCACAATGCCATTAGGGAGGGAATTCTAGGATATTAACCCAGCAACAGTGAAGGAACAGCAATATATTTCCAAGTCAGGATGGTGAGTGGCTTGGAGGGGAGCTTGCAGATGGTGATATTCCCATCATAGAATCCCTACATAGAATCGCATGTATCCGCTACCTTTGTCCTTCTAGATGGAAGTACTTGTGGGTTTAGAAAATTCTGTCTAAGGAGCTTTGGTGAATTTCTGCAGTGCATCTTGTAGATAGTTCACGCTGCTGCTACTGATCATCGGCGGTGGAGAGAGTGGATGTTTATGGATGCGGTGCCAAACATACAGGCTGCTTTGTCCCTGGATGGTGTCAAACGTCTTGAGTGTCGTTGGAGCTACACCCATCCAGGCAAGTGGGGAGTATTCCAACACACTCCTGACTTGTGCCTTGTAAATGATTGACAGGCTTTGGGGTGTCAGGAGGTGAGTTACTCGTTGCAGTATTCCTAGCTTCTGACCTGCTGTTGTCACCACTGTATTTATGTGATGAGTCCAGTTGAGTTTCTTACCAATCATAACCCCAGGAATGTTAAGGGGCGATGATTAGATTGTCTCTTATTGGAGATGGTCATTGCCACGCATTTGTATTGCTTGCTACAAAGTCTCAAGAAAGAAATGAAACCAGGTGGATCACCTGGCATCAATCTAGGCACTGGAAAAGGCAACGGCAGAAACAGTCCTGTCCACTCTGCAAAGTCCTCCTTGCTAACATCTGGCGGCTAATGCCAACACTGGGAGAGCTGTCTCACAGACTAGTTAAACTGCAGCCTGACATAGTCATACTCACAGAATCATACCTTACAGACAATGGCCCAGATACCACCATCACCATCCCTGGATATGTCCTGTCCCACCAGAAGGACACCCATTTGATTGTTCACTCAGAAGAGGTCAGAATCATAGAAATCTTGGAGGCCAGTAGTTGGAGCAGAACAGCGGAGCAAGCCTGAGATAAAGACTTGCATTCATATTGTGACTTTCATGATTTAAAGTCTTGCAAGTGCACTTTACAGAGAAAGAGCACTTCTGAAGTATCTATGCTATAAGTGAAGAATAGTATCTGCCGCTTGGTACCGAGGCTTCACAAAACAGCTATCATTGTTTGTTTTAGTGATGTGGTTGAGGAGCATTACTAACTAGGATGGCAATGAGAACTCCCCAGATTTATTGAAAGTAGTGCTAATGGGATCCCTTATGTTCACCGAATAGGGAAGATGAGACCTCAGCTAAACATCTCATCTGAAAGTCAACACCTCTGACAATGCAGCACTCCATCAGGTAGAATTTCCCCAATCCTGAATGATGCAAGCTATGCTGAGAAAGTTAGGACAATTGTGTAAGATAACTAGTCAGGATCTTTTCAAAATCAAGAGCCAATTTTCCAATTAAGTGCTTAACGGTGAGATGAGATTTGCACAAGCAAGTGGCACAAGTGTATTTGCATGTATTAGTGTGTATTAGCATCTCATTACAACCTAATTTTCCTTCATTTACGTGCAGTTTCCCATTCTCCTATTGGTCGGTTAGAAACTAAAAGGCAACAATTCCTAATGTGACAGTCGGAGCGGGTATCTGGTGATTTCAGCTTGTCACCAGCCCCTCTGGGCCTCCTTCTTGGGCACCTGGCACTAACAGCTCAGGTAGCACTCCGTGGACAGTGACCACATGCAGCCTCCATCCATGGACATTGGCATAAAAACTACTGTATCTGGCATTTGACGTAATATATCTGGTGCTGGGAGTATAACGTGGGGAGGTGAAGATTTACATACATGCTTTAGGTGGGAACATGGGGAAGTTCAAAGCTGAAGGGGCTCAAGGGAAGGAATACCAAGGAGGGTATGTGTCCATTTTGGGGGATTAACAAGGATAAGAGGTTGAGTTTCAGACTCTCAGTTGTGGGGAGCAATTGTTGCTGCCTTCCCTTGTGCGGTAAATAGCAAGAGCCCAACAGAGATATAAATGGGTACGAGCACACCCAGAGTGGGTGGGGTAAGTATTTTGTTTTGTGAGGGAGGGGGCTTCACTTTTGAGCAAAGGACAACAGCATTGCACAGGCACCCACACAGCCCAGGTGAGGGACTGGGAACACCATGTGCTGTATTTGATTCTTTGGTATTATCCCACTGTGAGATAAGCTTGGCCTGTAGCTCTCTTGATCACATCATGCAGCATCAGGAATCAATGACTCTAATGGCTATGAGGTACAATCATTGCATTATGGCCTGGAAAGATTCACTCTCATTGTCAAACTAATGAGCATCTTTTAAGCTCCCATAGCCTGTTCATGGTGCAGAAGCTACCCACTTCATACCTTGGGCAATCAAACATCATGTAGCACTAAGGATGGCAAGACTCTGTACCTTCAATGTTGCAGCTGTGGATAGAAAGACATCCACTCACACAGCTAGTGGTGGCAGGTGAACATATGTGAGAGCATATTTGCAAAGCAATTTCAGCTGTAGCAGGTATGTGCTCTTTCTCTCCCTCTCACTGTGTCTCAGTGCAATCCTGAGATCCACAAGTGGGGTAGAAGCTGCCTCCTCTACAGTATCACCCACTGGGCCTGGCATTTTGGTTGGGCATTCCTGAGGGTGTCTGTATCTAGAAGGCAATAGAAGAGATGGAGTGAGTGGCATAGCAGAGAATAGAATGTGGCACATACCCAGGTGGAGAGAGGAAGGTCATTGACCTTGAACAGGTAAAAAATTATTAGTTATTCAGGGACACTGGTATTGACTTTGATGGAAGTCAGATGCTGGTCACCATGCACTTGCCATGGTCTCCATGCACACTAATATAAGGACGAATGCACAGTGTATCCCTGTTTATAGACAGATGGACACTTCTCTCCACATGTGCTGGAAAGAATGACGACATTGGAGAAATGGATCATGAAAAGCTAAAGTTGCACTCCCGCTTTCAGTTGCAATCAGATATTTGGATAGGAGGTAATGCTGGAGTGGGTCTGCCCATGTATCCAGATTTTAGTGTTTCTCTTTGATATCTTTCCCTGAATGCAAAATATATTTCTCACTAGATTACAACAGGATTCTGGAAAAGGCCAGCCTTCATAAAGAATTTGGATCCTGCCAAGGTTCGGATACTCAATCCCTATTTTATGTATCAAGCTGCAACAAAGTTACTGGGTCAACCCAACATGATTAAATGGGTAAGGGTAACTTACTGTTCTACTCCATAAAGGCTGTTGTGATATTTCTTATGGAAGACTGTACCAGCAGATCTCAAAAATGGAAAGTTTATTAGAATGTAGATTTTTTACACGAATTTCAATAATAAAGTTGGAATTATGTATCGTAGATTCAGACAGCACAGAAAAGGCCCTTCTGCCTATTAAGTCTGCGCTGACACCACCACTACTAAATGTGCGCTAATCCTAATTTCCTGCACTTGCCCTGTATCCTTGAATATTATGACATTTGCAGTACTCATCCAATATTTTTTAAAGGTTGTAAGATATCCAACCTCCGCTATCTTTCCAGGTGGTGCATTCCAGGTTTCTACCACCCGCTGACTTAAAAAACATTTTTTCCCAAATCTCCTCTGAAACCCTCAAAGTATGTCATCTTGTGATTGACACCTCAGCGAAGGGAAACAGTTGCCCTCTATTCACCCTGTCCATACCTCTCATAATCTTTGATCATGTCCCTCCTCAGTCTTCTCTGCTCTGAAGGAAACAATCCAAACCTATCTAGTCTCTCCTTATAGTTCATTTTCTCCATCCCAGGCAAAACTTGGTGAAGCTCCTCTGTAGCCTGTCTAGTGTTGTCACATCCTTCCTTTAGTGAGGTGACCAGTACTGCACACAGTACTTCAGATGTGGCCTGACCAACACTCTAATCAATTCCAACATTGCTCTTACACTCTGTGCCATGACTGATGAAGGCAGGTGTCGCACATGCCTTCTAACTATCCAATTCACGTGCTGTGCCAACTTCAGGAATCTGTGAATAATTATGCCAAGATTCCTCTGTTCCTCTAAGCTACCCAGTGTCCTGCCATTCATTAAGTACTGTCTCATCTTGTTTCTTCTTCCAAAGTGCATCACCTCACAGTTATCAGGGTTGAATACCATCAGCCACTGGTCTGCCCATCTGACCAACCCATCTATATCTTCCATCTTCTTTGCTATACCACTCTACCAATTTTTGAGTCGTCTGCAAATTTTCTTACATTCCCCCACATTTTCATCTCTATCATTCATGTATAAAACAAACAATAAGGATCCCAGTACTGTTCCTTGTGGTACATCACTGCACACCAGCCTCCCATCACTCAAACAACCTTCTGCCACTATCCTTTGTGTCCTATTACTAAGCCATCTGAACCATCTCACCAAATTTCCCGGAGTTCCCTGTGCTTTAACCTTTTCAATCAGTCTCCCATGTGGGATCTTAGCAAAAGCTTTGCTAAAATTCATATAAATGACATCAACCGAACTTCCCTCATCTACACAATTGATCACATCTTCGAAAAATTTTAACAAATTTGTTAAGCATAACCTCCCTCTGACAAAGCCATGTTGACTTTTCCTAATTAACCTATGCCTTTCCAAGTGGATATTAATTCTCTTCTTAAGAATTTTCCCCTAACAATTTCCTTAACACAGACGTGAGACTCATTTGTTTGTAATTTCCTTGCTTCACCTTTACCACCCCTCCAATCCTCTGGCACTTCTCTGGCCAGAGAGGAATTAAAAAATTGTGCCAGATCAGTTTTAACAAAAACTTCTTAAGGTATATTGGAGAAACATGTTTGGAGCAGTAATTAAAATTTGAGGAGAAGCATCTTTACTCACAGAGTAGTGTGAATTTGGAACCTGCAATTACAGGGCTTAATTGAGGTTGATAGAATATTGCCCTTAATTTGAATTTGAGGATTTTCTCCATTTGGTCATAGAAACAAAAAAAAAGGGCGTGTATATATTTCAGGCCATCCATTAGCTCAGCATGATCCAAAACACTTATCATCTCCGAAGTGCTCACAGCTGGAATGTAGCAGGAGAGGTCAGAAAGTATATCACCACAAGGAAGAGCCTATAAAAGAACATAAATAGGTTAAGTACGTTGGCAAAAGTTGGCAAAGTGAGTGTAATATGCAAAAATGTTAAACTGTCCATTTTGTCAGGGAAAATAGAAAAACAAGATGCTATTTAACAAGGGAGAGATTGCAGAACTGGGTGATGCAAAAGGATGTGGGTGCCCTAGTGTATTAATCACAAAAGGTTAGTATCCAGATTCAACAAGTGGTTAGGAAGGCAAATGGGATATTGGATTTTATTACAAGAAGAATCATCACCATCATCATCATCATCATCGTCGTCATCATCATCATCATCACCATCATCATCATCTTTGTCACCACCATCATCATCGTGGTCATCATTGTCATCATCATCATCATCATCATCACCATCATCTTTGTCACCACCATCATCATCTTGTCATCAGAATAAACTAGTTCCCAGAAAAAGGCAATTCCAATTTCATAGCCTCACTGTGAGGTGAAAGACAGTGCTTCCTCTGTGTTGCTGAGCAGTGTCAGCCAAAATTATGTTCTAAAGCTTTGACTAAGACTTGTGTTCTGCTCATGTGAGCATGTAACTAATGTGGATATGTGTTATTAAATATGGAAGCATTGCACAAATGAGTAGTTTGGCAAGAAGGTATTAATATAAGACAAGCAACAGATTATACACTTTTCTTAACATTCAGAATGTTTTAAAGCATTTCCTAGGGGCTAACAACAAAGAAAGAAAAGTAACAAAGTGACAAGATGCTTTACTTCAAGTTCATTCTTGCGATAGGTCATTGCTTCACCATTAACACTTATGGTCCCTGCTTTATTAATCTGAGAAGGTGGGGGTAAGTCTTCCTCTTGAACTACGGCAATCCAAGTGGTTAATCTGCTCCCATTGTGTAGGTGGGGAGGATGCTCCAGGATTTTAACCCAGTGTTGGTGAAGGAATGGCAGTTATTTGTCCAAATCAGGGTGATGTGTGACTTGAACAGAAACTGGGAGGTGGGGTCCCTATACAGGTGTGATCCTTGTCCTGAGTGAAGGTGTGAAAGTTTGAAGATCCAAGTAGAAGGGAAGCTGTCATGTAGGTTATAACAAGACAGAGGTCAAGACATTTAAGGCTGCTGAGAATGATATGATGAAGAGAGGACAATATAAAATTATAAAAAAAATTATTAAATCAGAGAGCCAAAGGATGTGACAGCATTGAGGTATGCATGCAACTAACGTTTGGCAATACCACTGAGAGTCTCACTATTTCCTTTGATCACAAGAAAGATGCCACAATTCATCCTTAAGTATACCCATCTAGAATGTGTCTAAAAACTCCAATTGATTGTTAAAAGATTCCAGGTTTTCTTGCCCCAATCTCTAAAAGAGTGTTTTGGTTTGATTCCCTTTATAATGAACAACTTCCTGATAACATTTAACTTTACCTTTTTACTGTTTGAATATTTGAACCATGGACTAGCCCCTACAATTAATTACAACAGTATATTCTGGAGTTACCTTTCCTATATTGCTCATGATCTTATAAATCTCTAGAATTAACCTCATAGCTTCCTTCCTTCATGGACAAAGAGGCCAAGTTTCTCCATTCTTTGTTCATATCTTGGACTTTTCACACAAAGCTCTTTTCTGCACTGCACTCAATGCTTCAGTGTATTCCATGTATTTTGATGATCAAAGTTGGACTCAACAGAATTATTTCTTACTTATTTTGACTGTCATTGTTTTTTCTTGTCTGTTGTAGTTCAACTTTCTGTTGGTTACATTGATTGCTGTTCTAGCACTGGCTCTTCTAGCACTGGCTGGGCATTCTGAGCTCCTGGTTTACTAAGGTACCTGGGTTTCTGTCAACTTTAACCATTGATATTTCACCATCTGTCCTGGAGTTTGTGTGTTGTCAATTTTGCCTTTAAATGTGAATGACTTTACATTTGTCCACATTCAATTTCATTTCATTCCAAAGAATCTCTTATTATCTCCTCTTACTGATTTTAAAATGCCTGAATTTCTCTTTCATATCGTGCAATTATTGTCTTGGAGGTATTTTTATTGAGGTAGGAGCAGAAAGGAAAAGACCAGGTCCTTTGCTGAGCTCAGATTGTTCAACATTAAAGAAGGTAAGGTCAGAGGTTAAGGTCAGAGGTTATATACGGCAAGAAATGGGATTAGATGAAGGGGTAGAGATGGAGGAAAGAATTAAGATCAGTTAGTTTGTGGGGAGCCTAATACAGAACAATATTTAGTTAAATTGCCATTGAAACAGAAAAGTGGGTTATATTTATTGCAAAGAAAAAGGCCATTCAGCCCATTTTGTCTGTGCCATAAATCATTGAGGAAGCACCTAGATTTGAAATGAGCTCAAGCATTCAATTCTCACCGTCACCAGTTATAAAACTTGTTGCAAAGTTGGATAGAGTACTCATGGATTGGGAGGCTGGGGTGTTGGGGGGAAGCATTGCGTGGTCCCTTTAAAAGATCATGTGCTTTTTCTCTGCTTAGAGATTTAAAATGGATGTCTGTGAGCAGCAGCTTGAAAGTTTGCAAGTACAAAGAAAAGCACCTGAATTGGAAGATTTGTTTCAAAAGGCTGTACAGTTAACAGGCCAAGCAGTAGTTTTTACCAAGAAAACAAGTTTTGAACTTAACCAATCAATTTGAACCAGGCACTTGGATACCAATTTACAAATTTAAATGTGATGGTTTTAACAACAAAGGACAAATCCTATTGTAAGAAATATTGATATGTCATCAAGGGTATAGAAAGAAGGGAGGCAGTTGGATAAAGCTACAGAACTAACTGCCATCTGCCAGACCTAGCAGTCCTCAGCTCTCAAGAGAAAATTGCTGGTTCTCATAGCCTCCTCTGTGTCTTAGAGAAGGCACCATCTAAATAACAATGTTACCAATGGCAAAACTAGTTAACATTCCTGACAGAAGAATTGACAGAGAAGGCATGGAACATTCCAGAAAACATGTAACTTGGCTGTAATTTCAAGAGACTAATTTTTTTTTATATGTAAGTGGGTCTTGTATTTGTTGGAACAGCATACCATTAGAATCTTGCTTTATTTGGGAACAGTTAGTAGTAAAATAAGATTAATTTGGTGCATCTCTTTGCCTGTTTTGGTTTTAGTTCTCAGAGGGGATCAACCTCCACTTTATAACAAACTTAATGCATTAGATCTGGTCATTTGTGGCTAGCACCAGAATAAATATGCATTAGCTTTATTCCCCCTATATTGACATTGCCTTAAAGTCTTTATTTTCTGCTGTTTCTTCCCCAAAACCTCAAAACCATGAACTCTTTGCATGATCAAACCCTTGTCCTCATTCAGACCAGAAGCTTACAATCCCGCTCCCTTAGTCATGCCGTATGTTTTTGAAATGTGTGCCTTCCCAATGCCCTGTCATATGGACCGTTGCTCTATATTTGTGGTTCTTCATTTCAATTATCTCATTTTCATTTCTACATGACTGCTCAGTTGGCATTCTGTATCTCTGGGACTTATTTTATCAGGTGAAATTACCCTCTTCCTATTTGGTCTATTTTGTTCTGTCTCTCCATCACTCTTTCTCATGTTCTGTTCTTACTCTGTTAATGATTGGTTATAAATTTCAACATAACTTTCTTTCTGCATCCACAGAGAGGAAATCGTCCAACCACTGGGTTTTTAGCCGTCACGTTGGGTCTGAACTATTGTGATGAAGTTGATGTTGCTGGATTTGGTTATCCATTGAATCAAAAAGACGGGAGGATTCATTACTTTGATCGGCTGAGCATGAAACAGATGGCAGTAAGTATCTGATGGAAGCAATCCCCTGATTCTATGTTCCATCTTAAGTTTCTCAGTCCATGTTAATGTGGCTGGTGCATATATGCATTACTGTCAAAAGTTCCATTGTCATTCGACATCATGCTCATCACTCTTGCTCCACTCCAAACATTTTGTTATGCCCGTCGTCAAACTATGTCAAGTCCAAACCAATCTCTCTGCTGCCCTCCACTTTACCCTCTAGAAGAGATTTAGCTCTGATCAAATGTCAGAAAAAAACAGGAAAATACACATGCAGAACAAAGTCTTTTGTCAGGAATGGTTATGGGCTGGAGGAAGCTGCAGAATCAGGGAAGGGAGTCTAATGGAGGAATTTAAACATGAAGGTAAATGTTAAATTTGTTGCATTGGGACATCAGGACCTGAATTGGATCAGGGAGCTCAGAATTGTTGGGTGAGTGAGATTGGGAATAGGAAAGGATTTGGGCAACAGAGAGTTGGATGAGCTAATAAAGAGAGTGAATGAAGAGCATCATAGAATGGTCCAACAGAAACAGAATCCTATTGTGTCTGTAGTTTTCCTCAATCACTATCTCAGCAAGCCCTGTAGTTTCCTATACTTAAAGAGGATGGTGACAACACCCTTGATTATGAGCAGCGCCTCGTACAGCATGGTGAACTGGCAGGGTCACAGCATGGTCAGCAGTGATGAAGATTTGATTTGATTGCACCTATAGCACATAATGAGCAAGAATATGAGATCTTCAGAATCAGCTCGAAGCCACATGCTCACTCTGCACAGTCAGCAGCAGGGAAGAGCTGAAGATCTAAGAACCCTACAGGAGAAACCTTCATGGCAGTCCTCAATGAGGAAGTGTAATCCAGAGCATCGTAAAAGTATTTCAGACCTTTTTAGGGACTGGCTGCAACAACAGAGGTAAAGACTTGCTAGAGAAGGAGAATAACTAACTCCAAAGCATCACAAGGAAGTGGTCCATAGGAATCAAAGTTCAGCATTGAGTGAACAGGCATCAGAGGCTCCAAGAGTAAACTTAAAATTCCCAGGGGGTTAGGGGAAACTTTAAATGGAGCTGTAATCCAGGTTGGGCAAGTAAGAACTTAAAAAAATATATGCTGGCACAGTGGCTCAGTAGTTAGCACTGTTGCCTCGCAATGCCATGGACCAAGTTCAATTCTAGCCTTGCGTGATGGTATGGAGTTTGCACATTTTCCCTGTCTCTGTGTGGGTTTCCACCAGATGCTTTGGTTTCCTCCCACAGTCCAAAGATATACAGGTTAGGTGGATTAGCCATGGAAAATGTAGGATTACAGGGATGGGGTCAGGGGTGGGTCTGGGTGGGATGCTCTTCAGAGGGTCAATGCAGACCCGATGAGCCAAATGCATACTTCCACACTGTAGGGATTCTATGATACTGCTCAGATCAAGCATCGCCAACATACAAAGTGGGCACCATGAAGCACAACTATAGAAATGGCAGTAAAGGGTCATGAAAGAAATATTAATCCAAGGTCACAGACCAGGGATATCATGAAGCCAGTGATTAATGCAATAGTGATCAGCAGATTAAAAACCCAAGTTGACCTTACTTAATGGGGACAGAAAAATTAGGAAACTTTATTCAGACAGTGGAAGTGGCAAGTGATCCTTCATAAGGTGCATGATAAAAGCAGGAATCATTTATTTAAACCACAACATGTGGGAATCATTCAGAAAACAACCATGAGAAAAGCAGGAATCATTTACTAAAGCCATGTACAGTGAGATTCATGCAGTAAAGCTATCAAAAAGATGGGACTCCTCCATTCTAACTGCAAAGTATGGGAAATCCTGCCAGAATAGTAGCAAAGAGCAACAGAACTACCATTACTGTTAAATAAAGCCTCTTTCATAAGTCAAATGTTTAATCAGAGAAGGAAGACATGGTAGTGGAAATAACATTGTTAGGAAGACTTAATTTCAGAGATGGGCCAACAAAACACAGAATTGGACATGTTGGAGAAAGCAATTTTTGATATACAAAACAGTTTCCAAATTGGATACCAAATCAGAAGCTAAACAGGTAAATACACTTTTATACACAATTGGAAATGTAGCTGATAGTTTTGCAGCTTACTAAGCAGTCACAAAATCACCAGATACTTTTTGAAGAGGTATTGAAAGCCCTTGATAATTACTTCAATCTCATAACAAATAAAATTCTTGAAAGAACAAGATTTAATAGAAGAGTTCAGCATTCAGAAAATTCCATGAATTATTTTGTAAATGATCACTACAGATTTGTGGGAATAAGAGATGGTTTCATTTCAGAGGTAGCAGTGCGGCTTTGAGAAGAAGCAACTGCTGAAGATAGACATGTTTTTCATTCATTCCTAGGATATCAACATTGCTATCTGGGTGCACAGTGACTGCAATGTGTACGATATTTTAAAAATGCACTGCAGTAACTTTCCAAAGTTATTTGACAGCAGCTTCAAAACCCATGACCACAACCACCTGGATGGACAAGGGCAGGAGGTACATGACAACACACCAGCTGTGAGTTTGCCTCCAAGCCACGCACCATCCTGACCTGAAACTGTTGCACTGTTCCTTTCGCTTTCACTGTGTCAAATTCCTGGAGCTCACTCCCTAACAGCACGATGGGTGTACCTACACTACATGGACGTGTAAGAATGTAGCTCAGCATCTCCTTGTCAATGGCAGTTAACAATGGACAATTAGTACTAGCCTTGCCAACGATCCTCACATTCAAGAATAAATAAACACCAGTTAGTGAAGCTCTGACAGTCATCACTGTAAAAGAAAATAGTGATTCCTTACTCAGTCTAATTTCCTGTGTTTTTGGCTCCTCCTCCAATCTTTCAAAGTCAGTTCAGATTTTTTCTTGGCTTCTTTAATGTGCTCGGCCTGATTTTTACAAACGATGTAATGATACTGATTTTTGCAAAGTGAACATTTGAACTACATTGTTCTTTATATTGTATGGTGCATCACCAATGATATAATAAAATCTTTTTATTGCAGGAGATCTATTTTGGGATAAGGCAGGAAAGTGAACTTGGATTGTCAGATTAGCCATAATCTCCTTTATGTGTCTATTTGTTACATCAACATTTACTTGCAAATTTACAGTGTTTCTCTTGTCAGTCTAGTGACATTACAAGCAAATTGAGGTCTCAATCTGGTTTACAGGGATAGGCAGAAACCTAGGCAAACTGTGTACAGGATGCTCATTTCTACTCACTGAGAGAATCTTATAGCGCTGAGTGAGGCCCAAACTCTCCATGCCACTTCTGTGGAAGAATGACCAAATTGGACACACTCTGTATAATCCTTCAGCTTTTCCATTTCCATTATCTATTCAGTTTGTTTTGATGTATCAAATCATTCCCTTTTGAATTTATTTCCACATTTTTCTCAGTGAGTGCAGTCCCAACTATAATCATTAGATTTGGAAAGAAAATTCCCCTTGCTCACCTTTTGAATGTTTGTCCATTAAAGTCTTGTGTCCTCTGGTTACTGACCCACCCTCTCGTGGAAAAGGTGTCTCCTCCTTGACAACTGATATACCTAAACTTTTGAATAGCTCTTTCCATTATGGCCTCAACATGCTCAAGTTCAAATCTGACTTCCCCACTCTTCCCACAAGATTATCTCAATCCTGGTATCTTTCTCAGAAATCTCCTTGACCTCCAAAAATGTGGTACTCAAAATTTCTCACAATATTCTGGGCGAACCTAAACAGTGATTTATAAAATTTTAAAATTTTACTCAAGACTATAAGGAGCAAAGGCAGGTCATTTGTCCCATTGAGTCTGCACCACTATTCAATAAGATTATGGCTGATCTGACAATCCTCAGAGATAGTAGGAACTGCAGATGCTGGAGAATCTGAGATAACAAAGTGTAAAGCTGGATGAACACAGCAGGCCAAGCAGCATCAGAGGAGCAGGAAAGCTGACGTTTCGAGCTTAGACCCTTCTTCAGACTCTTTTTCGAAAACGTCAGCTTTCCTGCTCCTCTGATGCTGCTTGGCCTGCTGTGTTCATCCAGCTCTACACCTTGTTATCTCTGACAATCCTCAGGTTCACTTTCCTGTCTTATCCCAAATTACTGAATGATTAAAAATCTATCCGTCTCAACCTTAAGTATACTGAATGTTCCAGCCTTGACAGCGCTCTGCAGGAGTCAGTTCCTTAGATTCACTACCCTCCGAGAGGAGAAATTTCTTATCATGTCGATCTCAAATGGTTGATCCCTTACTCTGTTATTATATGCTCTCATCCTCGACTCATAAGGGAAAAAAAAACCTCTCTGCATCTACCCTGTCCAGAAAAGAAAATTCCTACGAACCTGGAATCAAACAAGTGAAACTTTTCTGAACTGACTCCAGTGTCAGTATCTTTCGTTAGCGAAGGGACTAAGACACTGGGTGGCTCAGGGGCTCAGTGGCTAGCACTGCTGCCTCGCAGTACTGGGGCCCTGGTTCAAGTCTAGCCCTGGCTGACTGTATGTGTAGAGTCTGCACATTCTCCCTGTGTTTGCGTGGGTTAGTTCTGGTTTCCTCCCATAGTCCAAAGATGTGCAGGTTGGGTGAATTGATGATGGGGAATGGGTCTGGGTGGGATGCTTTCTGGAGAGCTAGTGCAAAATGAATGGCCTCTTTCTGCATTCTATGAATCTATGAAAAGTTGTTCACAGTATTCCATCTATGGTCCAACTTGTGCCTAGTAGAATTTTAGCACAAGATGCCTATTTTTATATGCTGTTCCTTTTGTATTCAGGGGCAACAATTCATTTGTTTTTCTTTATTGTCTGTTAAACTTGGGTGCTAGCTTTTTGTCATTTATGTTCAAGGATTCACAAATCTTTCTGTGCTGCAACTTTCTACAGTCTTCTTTCTATTTAAATAATATTCAGCTCCTTTTCACTTCCTGCCAAAGTGCGTACGTTCACATTTTCCCAAAATCTGCTCCAACTACCTAGATTTTGCCCGCTGAATTGCCCACCTCTCCATGCCCCTTTGTGTACTCTATGTGAGACTCTCACTTTTGCCTTCTGAACATATTTTGTATCATCACAAACTTGGCTACAGCACATTCACATCCCTCATCCAAGTCATAAATATATATGGTAAATAATTGTGACTTTATCCCTGTGGTACTCCATTAATTACAGATTGCTATCTTGGAATTAATCTCCTTATCCCAACTTTCTGTCTTCTACAAGTTAATCAATTTTGTATCCGTGCTAATATATAAAATCCAACACGATGGGATCTTACCTTACTCTGTAGCCTAATGAATTTTAGAAATCTAAATGTGTTATATCCACTGGTATTATATCCTTTGATCTATCCAAAGAGCCTCCTCAAAAAATTTAATAATTTTGTCAGGGATGATGGAAGGAAGTTCAGGTTAAGATGACAATCAAATCAGCCACAATCTTATCACTAACAGAAGGCTCAAGGGCGTTAGAATGGCCCACTCCGGCTTCTAATTACTATGTTCCCATGTTTGTATATTTGCAACTAATCCCATATACTTTGCCTGTGTGTCTAATTTAATCCATGTGCATCCTGTTTCTTTTCAGAAGTCTGTGCACAATGTCACCCATGAACACCTGTTTTTGAAAAAGCTGAAGAATGCTGGAGTGATCAAATACCTCACTTAGCCATCACAACGACTTTTACATTATTGAGATTGTTTGCTTCCAAATTATCTGTCAGTAATGTACTTTTCTCTGTGTCCTATCCTCATACATACTATGAATCCCTCCACTCTGTGACCATTTTCCTCCCTGCTAAGCCACAATGTTAGTTTCTGCATTGACCTGGTGAAATAAGTCTGGATTACGTGCAACGTTCTCCACCTGCAGTGAACTGATGAAATGCCATTGGAAGGAGGCATTGTGCTATTTCATCCTTGTGTGATTGAAGTGGCTGTGTTATCATGACGGGACTATGGGCCTATTATCACCACAGGCATCAGGACCCCAACTTCAGGGTGAAAATCGGGTTCATAAATCCAGGCCACACACCAATATCTCCA